GGGGGGTAGTTTATGAAGGGGTTATATGGGATAGAAACCATCAAATTTATGAACGAAGCACCGTAGATGCACTAATTAAAATAGTATCATGATGTTACACCATGTTTTTAAGATGTATTAAGCCCACGAGGAGAAAATATTTAAATAGGAGCTCTATATTTTTTGAAAATGGTCCTCAATATTTTAAAATTATTTCATAAATAGTTCTTTAAGTCAAATATAACAATATTTTTTCTAAAAAAATTCCCTGAAGGACCGAATTTAGGATTATTTTTAAAAAATGAAAACTATTTCTATAATACCTTAGAATTGAAGAGTAACTATGGAAAATCATTTGTAATAGTGTTTCTCGGTATTTTGGGTTCGAGTTGTATTAGATTAGATAGATTTAGGTTCAAAATATTTTAAATATGCAAATATAATATAAATATGATTTTTTTGTTCGAACGTTAATTACAGTATTAATAAAGGATTACAAATACATATATTAGGGGGTTTGATTTGGATGATTCTCCATCTCTTTTAATTACAGTATATTCTTAAGGTGAAAAATGAAACAAAAATTCAGAGAAGAATTATATAGATGATCATGCCTACATTTTTAGGTTTGAATGAAGAAAAAGGCACACATGTAAAAAAGGAAATAAGTAGTTGGTTCTGGAAACGAAGAATAGTTGGAAGTCGGATTTGGGACAAGATTTACGACATTCAAGATGCTCAAATGTCAAATAAAAGTGCAAACAGAAAATACTACGTAAGTTTGTTTTGACAACGAAGTATAATTATAAGTAGGGGATTTCCTCGGTGCCCAAAGAAATAAGAGGGTATCCATGTCCCTCCACTCAAGTATTGCCATGTGTATTAAATCTCATGGGAATTAATAAAGTGTTCCAGCTCATTTTAAATCTATGAAATTACAATTGACCTCCCCACTTTGCATAAAGTGTTTGGCATTACATGATTGAGTAAATACCTTATTAGGAGTTGGTAGCAGATTATTTTGAAAACACAAACGTTAAACGCTCCCCGCACATTGCTTTTTCAAAATACTAACACTAATCTTTAACGTTATTCCCAAACAAACCCAACATATACTTACATCAAATTATAATTACTGATAGAATTTAGGATGGGGTATGGATATCTGGAATGTGCAATAAGACATTTGGGTTGAACCACATTAAAAGATTGAATCCAATCGATTACTTAGTTCAACTCAAGACCTTATATACCGATAACTTTTTCTATTCAACTTCCGATGTGGGATAAACTCTAACAATTACTATTACAGGTGCTGCATCCAAACACACCCATATTGTTTTCTTTTCTTTTCTTTTTGCTTAATATTTGTTCTCATTTTCATTAGCTCTCATATCTATGTTAATCATTTTTTTTTATGTTGGCTTTCTAAGTTAACTTATCCTTCATTGTTTTACGCCTCATAGAGTCATAGAGTAGAGGCATTAAAGTACTTCTCTTCTTGAACTTGCATTTTCTTGAAATGTGAAGTTGACTTGGAGTCATCATCCATAAAAGGGAACAGAAAATAAAATTACGCGACAAAGGTTGGCCACAAACAATTTACCATTTTAGACATTCCGAATCGACACTTGACCCCTAAAGCACACTCACACTTCAATCTGGTTTTTTCAAGTTGAAACAATTATCGGAAGCTTGGTTGAACAGCTCTTGAACCTGCTTCAGCTCCTTCTCTGGTACAAATAGCATCACAAATGCCAATCAGAATAATATTACTATGTATTTTTGTAAACCACTCATAATTGACAATGTTTTTAGCTTTGGAAAATGGAGCTACGTTTAATACTATCGCTATATCTTCATGTACATTGCCAATGTAGCTCA